CTCCTGGTGGCTCCTTTGGGGGGGCCCCGTTTGCCCCGGGGGTGCAGAGAGGTCTCGAAGTCACTGCCAGAGCTGGAAGCTGATGGGAATTCCCTGCAGGAATTTGGGGGAAAAAACGAAAAAAAAAAAGGAATTTTGGGGGAGAGCAAGGAAATGTGGGGCTGGAAGGGGGGAAAAATGGGGAAATGGGAAAAGAATTGGGGTGAACTGGGAAAAATAGGGGGGAAATTGGGGGAAAACTGGGGGAAAAAGTGGGGAAAAAAATGGGGAAAATGGGGAAAAATTCGGGGAAACTGGGAAAAAACTGGGAAAAAAAATTGGGGAAAAAAACTGGGGAAAAAAAACTGGGGGAAAAAAACTGGGGAAAAAACTGGGAAAAAAAAAACTGGGGAAAAAAATGGGAAAAAAAACGGGAAAAAAAATACTGGGAAAAAAAAAAACTGGGGAAAAAAAAACTGAGAAAAAAAACTGGGAAAAAAAAAACTGGGGAAAAAAAACTGGGGAAAAAAAACCTGGGAAAAAAACCTGGGAAAAAACTAGGAAAAAAAACTGGGAAAAAAACTGGGAAAAAAAACCTGGGAAAAAAAAACTGGGAAAAAAAACCTGGGAAAAAAACACTGGGAAAAAAAAACTGGGAAAAAAACACTGGGAAAAAAAAACACTGGGGAAAAAAAACCTGGGAAAAAAACCGGGAAAAAAAAAACAAACTGGGAAAAAAAAAACCGGGGAAAAAAAAACTGGGAAAAAAAACCTGGGAAAATAGAATACGGTTTAGAAATGTGGATTAAAAAGTTTGGGATTGGGGAAAAACAGAGAAATAAATGTGAAATTTGGACTGGAATCAGGAAAAATGGGATTAAAAAAAGCTGGGATAGGGGGAAAACGTGGCAAAAATGGGCCAGAAATAGGGAAATTTTTGGGAAATTTGAAAAAAAGAGGGGGGGGGGAAAGGGGAATTTGAGGATTTTGGGGGAATTCCAAACAAACTCACGGGCTGTGGGGGGAGCTGCTCTGAGCTCCTGAGCCTGGAGTGGGGCCAGAGGAGGATCCAGAGGAGGATCCCGAGGGATGGAGCTGAGGAGAGCGGCGAGGAGCCATGGATGAGGCTGGAAAAAGAAGGAAAAAGAGAAAAAAAAGGGAAAAAAAAAAAGGAATTTTGGGGTGTCTGTCATGGCTGGAGCTCCCCCCCCAGAGGAGAAAATGGAGGGGTGGGACCCCCAAAATTCCCTCAGGAAAAAGAGAAGGATCCCAAAATTCCTTCAGAAAAAAAAAAAAAAAAATGAGGGGGTGGGACCCCAAAATCTTCATAGGTCACAATTTTGGGGGGGGGGGAATGAAGCCCCTCCCTCATATTTGTGAGGTCAAATCCCCCAACACCCCTCAAACCCCTCCCGAAAAAATCCCAATTTCCCCCTAAATCACACTAAATTCTCTCAAAACCAAATTTGAGGGGTGGGGGTGAAGACCCCCCAAAAAATCCCACAAAAAGGGGAGCTTGGGACCTTTTTGAAGCCTCTCAAACCCCCTCAAACCTCAAATTAAAGGGTGGAGATGAAATCCCCCCCTCACAAAACCACTCTGGAAAAAGTAACTGAAATCTTCCCCCACACAAAACCCCTCTGGAATAAAGTGAGGGAAGCCCCCCGCTCATAAAACCCACCCAGATCCCACTAAAAGGGATCCCAGAACTTTTTAGAGCATCTCAAAGTTCAATTTGAGAGGTGGGGATGAAAATCCCCCCTCATAAAACCCCCCTGGAATGAGGGGAGTGAAACCCCCCCCTCATAAAAACCCCTCGGCTCCCACTGAGGGGCGCAGTCGGGATCTCTCAGCTCCCCAAAACCCCCCCATGAAGGAACCTCCGCGCTCCCCGTTCCCCTCCCTCACCTCTGCGGGGCTAAAAATCCCCAAAAAGACTCAAAATTACCCCAAAAAACTCGGGCGCAACCCCCCCCACCTCACGCCTGCCTCGCTTCGCGCCAAAACAAAATGGCGCCCGGCACGCGCCCGCGCCTTCTGGGGGCGGGGCCGCGCCCGTTCACGTGACCTGGAGGGGCGGGGCGGGGCTTGGGGTGGGCGGGGCTTTCTCGGTCACGTGACTCGTGGCGCCAAAACCGCAGCCGGGCCGTCCCATAAGGGGAGGGTCCCCAAAAAAATCCCCCAAAATTTGGGAATTCTGCAGGGAATTCGGGATTTGGGGGGGGGGGGGGGATTATAGGGGCCTGAGGGAGTTTATAGGGGCCTGGGGGGTGTGCTGGGGTTGGAGGATGGGGGTTCCCCTATAGATTTGGGGTCTCCTGTAGAGTGGGGTTCCCTAAAAAGCCCCCAAATTTGGGAATTCTGTCGGGAATTCGGGGTTTGGAGCGGTCTGAGAGGTCTGTAGGGGGCTGGATCCCAATCCCGACCCCGTTCCCGTCCCAAATCCCATTCCCGATCTCGATCCCATCCCCGTCCCTATTCCCGTTCCCAAATCCCACTCCCCGCCCTATTTTCCATCCCATTTCCGCCCCATTCGCGATCCCATTCCCGATGCCGATCCCATTCCCCGCCCCATTCCCGTCCCAAATCCCATTCCCGATCCCCAAATCCCATTTCCGATCCCAAAATCCCATTCCCGGTCCCATTCCCGGTCCCGCTCCGCCCGCCCGGGGCCGTCCCGGGGCGGGGCCGGAGACAAAAGGGGAAAAGTTTTCGGGGCAGGGAAAAGAAGGATCGGGAACTTTGGGAATCTTTGGCGTTCCGGGAAGTTTTGGCGTTCCCGGAATTTTTGGGATCGCTCCGGGAATCTTTGGGATCGCCGGGAAAATCCCCCGGGAGTTCAGCCCGGGATGTGGCGGAGCTGAGCGAGGCCGCGGTGAGAGAGGGACGGGAAAAAACCGGGAATGGGGAAAAAACCGGGATATGGGGAGGGGGAAAACCGGGAATGGGGGGAAAACCGGGATATGGGGAGGGGGGAAAGCGGGATTTGGGACGGGAATGGGGAGGGGAAAACTGGGATTTGGGGAGGGGAAAAGTGCGAATGGGATTTGGGACGGGAATGGGGATTTGGGGAGGGGAAAACCAAGATTTGGGGAGGGGGGAAAAGCGGGATTTGGGATCGGGGGGAAAGCGGGAATGGGAAAAAAAAACGGGATTTGGGGAGGGGGAAAGCAGGAATTGGGGGGAAAGAAGGATTTGGGGAGAAAACTGGGAATTGGGGTGGGGGAAACCCCGGAATTGGGGAGAAAACTG